CAAGCACCGCGTCCAACCCTTGGAAAGCACTACTGCCTCATCTCCTGAGGGAGGGAAAGTCCTTTTATTTCTAGAGACATGAGGACTTTTTTGGAAGACTGGCGGTTGAACCCGGGGCCTTCACACTGAACTATACCCCACCTCATTTTTATTTTTGAGAGAGGATCTAAACTAGTAAATTGACTGTGCTAGACTTGAATTTTTGATCCTCCTGCCTCAGCCTCCCAGAGCACTGGGATTATGGGCATGGGGATTACAGGCATGTGACACCATGCCCAGCTATGAATTATATTTTTGTATAAATATATGTAAATAAATCTTTTTAAATGTATATGTTCAAGAAGGGCTGGTCACTCAATACTTCGCAAATGTAAATAGAATGAAATAAAAGTATTATCAGTACAAATTTGTGATGATTAAAGATATAAATTTCACACTAATATTTATGACAATCAGGAAAAAAGTGGCTTAATATGCAACTTCCCCTAAATAATTAATGATATAAGACTTCCAGACCATCCTATAAAGTTGACCTGTTCTCAAAAGGCCAAAAATTTTTGAAAGATAGTTTGGATATTTCTTTTGAATAAAATTAACTTCCAAATGAGTTAATTTGGAAGTCAATAAAACTGACTTTAAAATCTTATTAAAAATTCATCATCTTTTTAAAAACAAAAAGAAATGTACTGGCATAAGACAGTTCTATAAAAATATCCTGGTGATTATAATACGATGATCTTATTTTATTCTTTAACATTTTCAATGAAAATAAAAATAATTGTTTCAAATAAAGACAATAATAGGGGAAAGTATGCTAGATAAATAATTTCTATGTAATGTAATGCTATGCTTGAAGTCCATTTCTGCCTAAATGAAATATTCTGAATTATGATTTTAAAGACCTAAATTTTTAGTTCGCAATTGAAAGTGAAACATACAGAGAATATCAATTACATGAAGTAAGATTTGTATGATTTTAGAAACAATCTGAAAAACATCAGTAAAGTATGTTTGGAATCAGCCATAGAGACTAGGATGACACATATGTGACAGGCAGAACAAAATGCTTTAAAATGCCATTTTCATAGTCATACATCAACAACACACAGCTGCTGTTCACTTATAAACTGCATGTGACAAATGATTCTAACAGTTTAAATATGCTGACTCCAGAATCTAAGACAAGGAAAGGAAAAAATAACCACATACCTGCTCACCAACACAGTTTAGCAAGAGCATATTTCATTCAAAAGATCACTCCTTTGAAAGAAATTAAACCTGGAGTATGTTTCCAAAAAGTATGTCTGCCATAGACATCATTCCTATGTTTGAAAGGCCACTCACTTTACTTCAACAGTGATTTTAAATCCCAACCAGTTGATTTCAGAACACACAACAGTAACCCTCGGAGGGTTACCAAGAAGTTGTTCTGCATGCGCTATTGTGATTGTCTTGTTTATGTGTCTGGATTTAGCAGTAGCACATCATGGAGAGAAGAGGTAGAGTGGTAAAGCCTAACGTCTTGCCACCAAGTCAGTTCTGCTCAAGACAGAAATCCTTCTTTTGGAGCATGTTCCTCACTGCTCATGAAGTACAGTACTTCATTTTATGCCACCAAAACAAGGCTTCTACTCCATTAGATATTCAGGTAAGTAACAATCTCCCCAACGCATAAGTTTGGAGCCAACTCAATTCTCTATGCTTGGCTTTCATCTACAAGCTTTGTCTAACATTTTTCCTTTGTGACAGAGACTGAGAGAAGCCGATCTGGTGAGTGGGCAAGTCCTTAGAGATATGACATCAAGAGTATTTACAAGGCTTTTTATCCCAAAATATATTATCTGTGTCTTTCTAGTGATGCCGAAGTTATTTTAAGCAAAATAGTAGGGGGAAAAATCTCCCTATAGTTCTAAATAAAATCTTGGGAGAATTTAACATGGCCAAATCACGTTCATGATAAATGGATCGCAGGGCACAGAGAGAAGCTGCAAACAAAGATGATAGATATAGGCCAGAGGGTGTAGGGGAGGACAGAAGACCATGAGAGAGGAACTCAACCTTCACAACAGGAAGCCGGTTCCTAGACCAGCAGGGACTCACTGGGCGTGGCTGGCAACGAGAAATGGCTCCCCAACTGGACCATCTATGTTCCCATTTGCTATCATTTACAACTTTCTACAAAAAAAAAGTAGTCCAGGTTTGGTCCCTGGGAAGCTCATTATGAAAACTGACCATGTTAGAATTTGTGTCCTCATAAGAAGAAAAAATATTCTGATCTTCTTCCTGAGGCCTTTCTGTTTCAATACGAGACCATTCTTTGCCGCACTCCTGCATCATGGTCACAGTGTGTTCGGGGGAAGGCCTTGTACTGTGATGAACAGTGCCACTAAGGATCACGTGGGATAGAGTTTAAAAGACACAGAAGATGAGAACAGAGATACTGAATGGCACCATTTTATTAAAAGACAGAAGCCTCTTAAAATTAACCATGCCCATTTATAGAGCTGCCAACCCCACAAATAAATGGATATACTACTTAATGTTAGAAATACATGACAATTCCTTTACTCTTGCAAGCTTCAAATTTCTTAGTACTGTATATTTCTTTTTGTCAAAGATTGTCAATAGAAAACAAGATGTGTACGATACACTCAGGGTCCCATAATTTTTAACCACTTTATTCTAGAATTTTTATTCTAGACAACCCAAGGCTCAGGGTCTACAGTACTGGTCTGCCGGATGCTGCTGTACATACACCTCTATCTCAATACAGGACATTATTCTCACAGAAAAAGGCACCATCATCAGCCTCCTCCCAGATACCGTTCATGCAAATACTGATCGAAAGGGAAGCACAGGTAAGATGTATCTGCTACATTCTGAAGATTCAGAAGGTTAGAAATAAATTCCCAAGCTAACACTTTATAGACTTCTCAGCTGAAGCAGACTTTTGGTCAGTACGAACCAAGGAAGCTTTCCTACCTGCAAGTCAATTCTTATAGATGCTGCGTAATTAATTTTAAAATTTTCCCAAAGTCTAAAAGTGAAAGAGACATAGACTGCATAAGCATCATTTCATTTTCAAACATGCCTTCTACAGGCAAAAACCCTGACTGAAGGCCGCAGCTATAGCTAGGGCCAAAATCTGTTTGACAAAACAGGCAACAGGAATTTTAAATTGAACATTATTCTCAAGGCTTATAATTTGACCTTCCGACCTGTGTAATGTCCTTCCTCTACCTTTTCCGGTGACAGAAAAGAGGCGGGCAGTGGGGCCCCCCATATGTCCACTTTGAAGTCCTGCACTTCATCCTCTGGGTCATCCTTTCCAGCCTTTCTTTTCCTTGTCATGCCTAAGGATATGATCGCAGACTGCGATTTATTTGCTAACTCTGCAGCAAAAGCAGAAGGTTATCACATATTTTGGTGTTTTAACTGGGATTTTTTTACAGGCACCTTACAAAGGCTGTGGAAAACAGAAAAAGTAAAGGCTGCTTTGCATCCTCCCTTGTCTTCCCTTCCCACCTGACAAATGCACCTTCTGCCCCTGCCTTTCTCACTAACACTGGCTCTCGGCTAATGAAGACAAGTGTTCTGGGGAGCAGTCTCTGGGCTCCTCCGGGTTGCTGTCATATTGGCTGGTCCTTCTGAAGAGTTCCATCACCCTAGAAATGCACCAGATTGTTCTTGGGAAGACTGCAAAAAGCACTCTTATTAAAGAAGGGGCTAGCTGGAGGAAACTAATTTTCCAAAATTGATTCTAAAATTCCGTGGACAAGGCTGCCACCATGCCACAAGAAAGTTGTAAAGACATCTTGTTAACCTCTAGGGAATCATTTATTTAGGCTGCGTATTTTAGATCACATACGAAGGTCTGCCTAAAAATAAAAGTCTTAGGATTCTTGTACTGTCATATGCCTATCTATCTGAAATGCCCCGTGGGGAATCTTCTACCCTGTCAATACCTGTTAGCATGTTAAAGAAAGAAATTATGTCATGACCTTACTAGGCGGATGTTTTCTGTTTGGCTGGACACATATTTTGTATTGAAATTCTAATTAAATAGTTGCGGTCACACTACTGAAAAGCTCCATAGAAGTGAGATGTTCGGTGGTCCAGGCAGGAACGCCAAAAACAGACAAAATTTGTATTTTTTCTGTATACTCAATTCATCACTTAAAATATTAAAAATGCATGCACTATATGAAAGTATATTTCTTGGAGCTAAATTTTACCTCTCCAATAACGTTCAACCTTGATGAAAACTGCTTAAGGATCCCTTTTTAAAGGGATCCCCTTTTATAATGCCTCCCAACCCCTACCTGGAAATTAAGGCTGGGCAGATAAAAGTCGAAGTCATTAAACACCACAAAGACAACGCTAAAGACGTCCACCATGTTACAAGTAAAAGAGGGACCAGGAAAATCATCAGTTCCTGACACGGTAAAGGACACCTGAAGGAAATGAGTTGGAGGCAGACGCTCCGTTTCAGGACCGGGACTCCTGGCTGGGAGCAGCGGGAACTTCGCGGACAGGCAGGTGGCGCGGGGCAGCCGCGGACCAGGGCGCTTCAACCTGTCACCAGCCATCCCCAACACCACGCGGGACCCCGAGAGCAGGACAAAGGTCTGAAGCCCAAATAATGGGGTTAAGGAAACTCGATCTGCGGATCCATTCAGAACGCCCGCCTCAGGGACGAGGAGCGCAGGAGGAGGCACCGTCCCCAAGGATCCCGCGGAGGCGCCGAGCACCCGCCCGAGCTCCTTCGGAGCACAGCTGTTAGGGGAGTGTGCGGGGCGTGGAGAATGCACCCCAACTCAGCGCTCCATCCCCGCCAACTTTGCTCCCCTTCTCTCCACGCAGCGAGGCGCGGAGGTGAGAGCTGTCAATATCCGGGCTGCAGCAGCCCCGGAGGAGCAGGAGGAGGAGGAAGCGAAGGGAAGGGAAGGCTGCGCCCGGGGCGCACGGGGCGGCGAGCGCGCGGAGAGCTCGGTACCTACCGTGGTATTCCTGTCCGGGCACGTAGTAGGTGGGGTTACCCGCAATGTGCAGGGAGATGAGCACCTCGCCCTGCTCCCCATCCCCGTCCAGCTCCCCGTGGTGGGTGCACAGGAAAAAGAAGGGCGAGAAGCGCGGGTAGTAGCCCCCCGCGGCGCGCGCCCTCAGCGCGGCGCCCAGCAGCAGCAGCAGCAGCAGCGGCAGCAGCAGCGCGGCCGGGAGGACAGTGCGCGGGGCCCAGGCGCTGCGCCCCATGCCGCGGCCGCCGAGCGCATGCAGGGTGGCGGCGCCGGACGGACGGAGCGCGCGGGCAGGCGGTGAGGCGGGCTCGGAGCGCGGCCCCGCCGGGAAGTTCGGGGAGACGGCGGCTCCCAAAGTTACTTCGGCCGCGGTGCTGAGAGCGAGCGCGGGGTGCACGGCCCTGCGCGCCGCCGCCGCCTGTGCGCGCCGCTCCTCGGCCGGGCCTGGGAAAGCGCCCGCCCCCCTCCGCACCTTCTTAAAGCCCCGGGCGCCGCGTCCCCCCCGCGCCGCCACACGTGTCCCGGCCGCGCCCCCGCCCGCGCGCCCCGCCCCTCGGCTCGCGGCTGCAGCGCCAGCTCGGGCTCCTCCGGCACCGGCGGGGCGCGCGTCCCCCGAGCCCCGGCCGCAGAACCCCGCGAGCCCCGAGCGCCCTGGGCCGCGCGTCCGCAGTGCGGGGCGGGGAGCCCCCGGGTTCGGGATCGGAGCCTTCAGCCGGGCGGTCCGAGCGATCCAAGGGAGGTGCCTCCCCCGGGACCCCCGGATCGCCCCCTTCACCCCGGGAGGACGCGCGGGGAAGGCTCGGGACGGGCGCGGCGCGGGTCCTTTGTCTGCGCCCCGCGCCCCCGGGGCCGCAGAGCCGCATCTGGGCCCGGGTTTAAGGGGGCATTAAGCCGGAGTGGGACTGGCAGCCTCGCGCGGCGCCTGGCAGCGGCGACCGTGGGCTCGGGTGTGGGCAACTGCGAGGCGGGAAGGGCTGGCGAGCGAGACCCGACAGCCACCGGACGCGGGCCGTTCTGGTTTTCATCGCGATTGGGTTCTGGGGGCGACACGGGTGCGCGACGTTAAAGTCCGTGTTTATTCCCTTTAGGTGTCGGTGGTGGTGGTGACTGGGGTCCCCGGCCTGGGCGAGGGGAAGGCGTTGGGCGCCGCTGGCGGTAGGGACGAGCTGCGCGGGGCTGGGGCTGCGGGGGGCAGCCCAGGCCGAGCTCCGGCACCCCGCGGGGAGCGGGCTGTGGCTGGCCGCCCGTCAGCCCGCCACAGAGCCAGGAGCCAACGGGGTGAAAGGGGTCCTCTTCCCCCGCATTTGCGAACCAGCAGCCAAAGGGAGACTTCTGCAGACATTTCCGTGCAGAAAGAAGAGATTGTTTCCCTTCCCCTTCCCCAGGCCCAGAATCAGCCCACTTCCAGCTGCCTTCTGGTCCCCCTTACTAGGTCCCCGTGGGGTTCCACGTCCTGTATACAATATACACATATGTGACCTGTAAATAACTGTCGGTACTCTGTCCCCCAGTGCTGGGGAGAAGTTGCAGGCTGCAGATCTTGAACCTCATTTAATGCTAACACACCTGGAAAGACAAGGGAGGAATGTTAAGAAGTTGTGCGGATCAGTGTCGAGGTCCTGGTGGCAGAGCAGCCTAGCTGGCTCCAAAGCTCTGACCCAGTAACTGTCTGCCACCTAACTAGAGGGGAAGCTGCTCCACACCCTGTTCCTGGCAAGGCCCACAACAGGCCTTCCCTGACACTGGGTCCTAAAGTCTGCAGGGCTGCACCATTCAGTATGGAAGGCTCTAACCACGGCCAGATACTTAAATTAAAAATTAAGTTCCTCAGTGTGGTATCCACCCAGTATCTACATGTGGCTAGTAGGTGCTGTGTTAGACTATTCCCATCACTGCCGAAGTGTCACCTGCACTGTTCCATGAGGAAAAATGAATGAATGCTCGGTCACCAACACCATCAATCAGTCAGTCAGTGAGTCAGTCCTTACCAAACACCATCTGTGTGCCAACCTGCTGGACGCAGTGCAGTGAGTGACGCTAACAGAACTGGGACTGGAGACATAGCAGATGCGTGCACTGGACCGCCACCGATGGTGACTCACAATGGCAAGCGCTAGGGAGAAATAAACAGGGCACTGTTGTGGGGAGGCTTGCTTTAGGCTGGAGAGCGGGGAAAAGTTTCTGTGGTCGAGCTCACCCCGTGAACACGTGGGAGGGAGCCCCGGGCCCTGAAGCAGAAAGAACCTGTGATGAAGAGTGGCTAGGGGGTGCAGCCAAGAAGCCACACAAAGGTGACAGGGAGGTGTGGGTCATGGTGTGACAGGGTCAGAATGAACTGGAGGGACAAAATGTCACAATGTCAAAAAAAATTGACAAAACTTTATGGTACATTTTCTATAGAGTTTAAATAAATATCCAACATACTCTTTCAGGGCAGTTGTCTACAGAACAGTTCCTAGTTTCATATCAAAGTACATCCACAAATTCCTTTAGCCAGCAGATGTGAACCCACCAGCTATGACATGCCAAGCATTACCTTAGGCGCTGGAGAAGCAGCTCGCCCTCCACAGAGCTAACCTTTCCGTGGAAAAAGACACAAAACATCAGTTACCATGATCAATTATAGGGATGTAAAAGTGGTTCGTGCCCTAAAAGGACATAAAAAGTGGCAGGAAAAATGGGACAGAGAAGGTTTCACAGAGAAACAGAGGCTGAAGCTAAGACCTGGTAGAATTCCAAGCTAAGACCTTGGTTAAAGTTGTGGGGAGCAAAAGTTATTTCAGGCCAAAGGATTCTTGGTGGAGAAGACGGTGTTGGATTCACGGCCTGCAGAGGGTGACGGTGGCTGGAAACCAATCTAGCTGAATTGCTAGCACGCATGGCCAGATCGGCAGGGACTAGCTTGGCAGTGCAGATTTTGGTCTGGTTCCTAAAAACAACGGTGATGCATGAAAGATTTTAAGCAAATAGATACCACGGTCATATTTGTATATTTGGAAGACAGCCTTGGTGTTAGAGGGGAGAACATGCAGAGCAGTGGAAACAGAGGCAGGGAAAGAGTCAGGATGTCATTTGAGCAGCTCCTGGGGGAGACCATGGTTTGGAAAGGAGAGGAAGTGAGAAAACGGAGCTGAGGGGTGTTAGAAGCTGGAACAAGAAGACCAGGCAACAGACTGGGTGACCGATGGGACACAGACACTGAAGGAGACAGATGTGTTAAAAAGGATGTACAACCTTCAGGCTTTGCAGTGGGGTAAGTGGTTGCTGATGGATCAGCTGGTTTTTTTTTTTTAATTAAGTAAACTTTTTAAAGGAAGCATAATGTATGCACAAAGGCTAACAAGTTGAAAGTGCAGAGCACCTTACAGTGGAGCACCGTGGGTAAGCAGCACCCAGGGACCACTGGACAGAAGAGGTCCACAGGGTGCCTTCCAGCAGTGCCCTCTTCGCACGAGGGTGGAAGGGGTTCTAAGTGGAGACAGAACCGGTCTTCAAGACAGTTACTGTGGCCTGTTTTCAGAGGTGGTTTTGGGTTTCACATCTGGCTTGACTCAAAATGATGGTCAAATATGCTGTTGCATGTAGCAAAAGTATGTTTGTTCTTACCCCTCTCATGTGAGAAATCATTGCTATTGACACTTAGTAGACAGTTGGCTCTTTTCAGTTGGGAAAGATTTTCAAATTTGGGTTGCTGCTCAGCTATGAACAATGCAGTTAAAAATTACTCTTGCCCATGTCTTTGGTGAGCGTACTCACATGTTTCAGTTGGGAGGCGGGGTGTTAGACCAGGGAGTGGAGGGACCTCTTTCCACACACCAGTTTCGCAGAACTTGCAAGAAATAAAGGGAATTCCTGAGAAGTCAAAACTGAAGTGAAAGCAGCAATCCAGAGATAAGCCACAAGCGTCCAGGCCACCCTGCACTGTGAGACATCTGTACATTTCCAAAGTCCCTGAGTTTCCGCTCCGATGGCCCTGTGTCTCTGGGGAACAGGAGATAAAGCCGAGGGCCCCCCCCCGGTGGGCGGGAAGATAGGACCCTGCGGCTCACATGTAGTTTGCAGATTAGTTTACAGACTGTCCGGTGCCCATCTATACTGCAACATGTACAGAAATTGAGCATTTATAAATGTTTACAGCAATTTTACCATGTACTAACATTTGACATTCCATTTTTCATTTTGGTTTTACTTTACAAAAGTGTCTGTCTCTGAGAGAGTGCAAACAGATAGTTTGCCAAACATCTAATAGGAAATTTATGCATAAAACCATGTCTCACCTCCAAAGAGCTAGACCCTTAATGGAAAGGAAAACTAGAATATATATGTATATATATTCCCTCATTTATCTGATTATTGACAGAAAGTAGTGATGACATGGAAACGGTCTCACCAAAATTTAAAATTACAATCTGGCTTTCAAGAGTTTCTTGCCCAAATTTAATGAAAAACAAAAACAAAAAACCTCACATGCTGTCATGCACCTAGCAGAACCAAACCCAAATCATTTCCCAGAAGGAAGAATAAAAACATAAACTCCTTTAGATCAGATTTCAAAGAATTTCAACCAATAAGACTGATGCAGCACACGTTCACAGTGAAATCACAGGTCCTGTGAGAAGGAAGAAGCCAGCGAATGAGCACTTAGACCACCAGACTCAGACCCCCGACGACTTTGGATATTGAAATCACCAGCTCCACAATGTAAGGGGTGCATATTTTTAAAATTTAGAAAAATTAAGTGTTTTGAAAAATAGGAATTAGGAATCATCAATTGTAATTATTCTCATTGTAAAAAAAAGTAGGACAAGTGAAATTTAAAATCTAATGATTTGCTTCTGATCCTATAAAATACTAGGTATCATGGGAGACCTTTTTTGCTGTAAAACCACTAGATCTAATGTAAAACCTAATTTTCTAGAATTTGGGGACTTACAGAAAGATCACAGAGAAACCAGGAAATTTTAAAAACGGGAACTAGCTAATATATGCATAATTTGCAGGACCCAGTACAAAATGTAAATGCACAAACCATTGTTCAGACGCTAAGAATCGGTTTTGTTAGAGGCTGGACGGGCATGTTACAGGAAGGAAAGCGAGGCTGGTGCTGCGGGCAGCCAGTGTGTAAAGAGTGTGAGTTCCACGTGGCGGCCGGCACTGCAGATCCAAGGAGGAAACCATAGGTTTTCAATGCACGGCTGAGACAGCTGGTATCCACTTTTAAAATAATACTGTTGGGCCCTTGCTCCTGGTTAGAGCCCCCGTGGGCCGAAGTATGGGGCGTTTCACTGGTGCTGAACTTCTGGCAAGGCCCTGAAGAGACCCGGGAGGTGGGCTCACAGGGTCACAGGTTTTCTGTAAAATTTGAAAAGATATTTTAATGTACTCTTCCTATTTGTTGTTTGTTGCTGCTGTCATTGTTTTTTAATTAAGTTTATTGGTACATTTTAGGTGCATGTAGTGATCACACCCT